GACCCCTGCAGGATCTGTGTAACTGACACATCATTTAAATACATTTAAACATTCTTCACCCTGTGCTAGTTCTGCCTGTCTTAAACGAGGATGCCTCTGTTCGGTACGACATGTATTGTTCCTGCAACACAAGCACACTTAAGGGATGATGACAGAGGAATTCCTCCCCATGTCTATTTAAAGATTGAATTGTGGTCCCCTGGCTGCTTGAGGATACCTATGATTAATCACAGCACTGCATGCACGGAGCTCCAAATATGGCCTCGTTGGGAGACTCCATCACTGATAAGACTCTATCCCGCTGATTTCTATATTACCCTCCACCACTCATTAACCACCTCCCTTCACTAACTCCCAGCCCAACCAGACACAAAAACATTCCTGGGCCTTAAAGCGCTCCTCCATATTTGGCAGAGGGGCTTTGCTTATAAGGAGAACTCATGGTGAAACTCCAACAGGTCACCGTTCTATCTCAAGGTAAGGCATGAGGACGGGTGCTCACAAACAGAGAAATTAGATCTTGATGCTCTAGGCTTATCTGTGCCGCAGACCAGTCTCACCATTTTCCATTATATCTTTCCTCAGGACCATTACACCTCAGTCTTCTCAGTAAGGATAAAGGTAAGCGTGTCCAAATGGACACTGGAGAAAAATGGAAATATAACGTTATGTAAAAAATTTAGGAAAAAGAAAAATCTTTATCTGCAGCATAAGTAATTTGTCCCTTTTTGTTGTGCACTAGGTGAAAAATGGGTGATGCTGCCATGAAAGAATTTGGGGCAGCGGCCCCTTACCTGAGGAAGTCAGACAGGGAGCGTCTGGAGGCCCAGACTCGCCCGTTTGACATGAAGAAGGAGTGTTTTGTTCCTGACCCCAGTGATGAATATGTGAAGGCTTCGATCACCAGCCGTGATGGGGACAAAGTCACTGCTCAGACTGAGAAAGGGAAGGTGAGTGATTTGTTGGCACAGCTGGTTTCCTAACTAAGACCAAAATGGTGTGAACTTATTTTTCCTTTAACAAATGTACTATAGATACAACCAGAAAAGTCTTTTTCTCCATGACACAGCTGAGCTCAACTGAACATAAATATGGAATTTTGTTTATTTTGTCAAATGCACTCAGAAGCAAGAGTACAATAAAAATATATTTCAATCAACCTAAACTTTGCCACTCAAGGTAATTATGTGTACCATTTTTAGGACCAAGTAGTAAAAAGTACAGCTTTACATAATTTCTTCTATATTTTGAGATGCAATATCAGCATACAGTGGCTGTAGCTCAGGAGGTAGGGCAGGTCATCTACTAATTGGAAGGTTGGCTTTTGGTCCCTGGCTGCTCCAGTCTCCAGTATGCATGCCTAAATATCCTTGGGCATACTGAACGCCACGCTGCTCTCTGATGTGTTCACAGGAGTATGGATGTGTGTGAAAGTTAGATTTTTCTTGGGTGTAGAAAAAGTGCTTGTATTAATCGGTGAATGAGGCTTTGAATGCTTAAGTAGAAAAGTGTTATATAAGAAATTTACTATTTTACAGCCTCTGTTTGGCTAAAACACACACACACACAAAAATATGTAAAATATTTATTTTTTCCTTAAATGTTAAGGTTCTTATGCAAAGTGGATAAAAAGCATTTAAAAGACTCCAACAAGTTCACACTGTAGCCTTGCAGCTGCGAGGATCTGCATTAAGAACTTCCAGACTAGCTGGTTAACTCTAAGACATGAAACGGATAAAGCTTTGAGTCAACAATAAGACTAGACAAGAGCCAGTCCAACCATGAGTGCATTTATGTAATGAATGGGTACTTTTGCAAACTTTTTAAGAAGCCAATATTTGTATTGTCACATTAAAGTGGATAGCCATAATTAATTATGTCTGTCAAAGATACAGCAGTCCTCCAGTGTACTCCTGTTCACCGAACCGACTTAACTGGGTTATACATGCTTTTCTTCGTTTTGTGCTTTTCTTCTTTTCCTCTCAAACTGTTTGGCATAATTCATCCTAGATTGATAGATCTCCTTCAATATATTGGAAATAAGTCCATATTAAGACCTACTGTGTCCTTTTTTGCAGACCGTCACAGTGAAGGATTGCGATGTGCACCCTCAGAACCCGCCAAAGTTCGATAAAATTGAAGACATGGCGATGTTCACCTTCCTCCATGAACCAGCTGTGCTGTATAACCTCAAAGAGCGTTACGCAGCGTGGATGATCTACGTGAGCTGACAGCACAACACACTAACTGCCCTCCCACAAATTCTACATGTTTAACACTTTGCTCTCCTCTTTTCACCAACTATCAGACCTACTCTGGGTTGTTCTGTGTGACTGTCAATCCCTACAAGTGGCTGCCAGTCTACAACCAGGAGGTGGTCGTTGCCTACAGAGGAAAGAAGAGGAGTGAAGCTCCTCCTCATATCTTCTCCATCTCTGACAATGCCTATCAGTACATGCTAACTGGTAATTTACCTTCCATTGTTGAAGTATGTTGAAATCAAAATAAGATTTTGTAGTAAGTGTTGTCCTAAAATACTTATATGTCCTGCTCGTTTACAGACAGAGAAAATCAGTCAATTCTCATCACGTAAGTCACTCATTTTGACTCTGTTTGTTTGATCTTGGTAATTACAGTAAATCATACAGGGAGAATTGTACTAAGTGCCATCTGGAAACCTTTCAGTTTTTGCTGACATGCTCAATGGTCTACTTAACCACAGGAATATTAGCTTAAGTGGTGCTTTGTCAGTTTAGTATGTAAATGAAGTCCTTGAACAGAAGATCTTAGTATGGTATATTGGAAAGATTTAATGTTGGCATCATTTCATTAATTTAATAGGAAAGAAATTCAAAAGAAGGCTTTAAAATGTCGCTAATATCTCTAAAACAGTTAATATGTATTGCATATTCTAATGAACTCATATAGTGCTTTTCACTTGTTGCCATAGACAAATCAAGTACAATGAGAGAGGGTGGCTTATTATAGAGATGACTGGATTGTCTACTTGAGTTCAAGGCGAGGCAACGGGAATAGGGTCTGAGTCCATTCTGGCTTGCTTTGGTGAGGGACAGGCTGACAGATAGTCAGGCAGGAATCCAGGCAGGAATCTCTGTGGACTGTAACGTTTGCAGGCAACACTGTCATCTGTAGTGAAAGTGGGAGCTGTTGGAAGAAAGTCTGGAGAGGTGTGGGTGAATGAGAGTGAGACAGGCAGAAAGGTGAACATGCAAGGAGAAGAGATAGCGAAGGCAGATGAATTTAAATACCTGGGGTCAACCATCCAAAGCAATGTTTTTGTGTACAGGAGAAGCGAACAACAGAGTGCAGGCAGGGTGGGTGGAGACGAGAGCCAGGGGCGATTTGTGACAGAAGGATTGCAGCAAGAGTGAAAAGGATGGATGAAAAGGACCTGCTATGACGTATGGTGAATAGTTTTAGGTGGCAGAGTTGACAATGCGAAGATTTTCTTTCCAGGATCTTTCCAGGATGGCCGAGATTAGAAATGAGCACAGCTCAAGCTAAGCAGCTTGGAGACAAAGTTAAAGAGGCGAGACTAAGATGGTTTGAACATGTGCACAGGAGGGATGGTGGATATACTGGAGCTGACGTGCAGGGAACAGCCAGAAGAATAATGTGTCCTGTTTGTTTGATCATTCTATTTGTGTTTTCAGTGGAGAATCTGGAGCTGGGAAAACTGTCAACACCAAGAGAGTCATCCAGTACTTTGCCAGCATTGCAGCTGGAAGTGGGAAAAAGGACACAGGCTCTGAGAAAAAGGTTTGAATCTTCAATTTACAGGATGTAGAGCTTTTCCTGCAGTGTAAGTGTTTTGAATAAAGGTTTTGCTTTTTTTTCTTCTTAGGGTACTCTGGAGGATCAAATCATCCAGGCTAACCCGGCATTAGAGGCCTTTGGGAATGCCAAAACCATCAGGAATGACAACTCCTCCAGATTTGTAAAGTTTTGTTGATAACAGTAACTCATTTGATTGTTTTTTTTATGCTTAGGCTTGTACTGTATCTATTTATCTTGAGTTTAGACTAGTCAGTAATCAGGCAGAAGGAAACTCATGCTTGGAGTGTTACCCTTATCCCAGATTTTCTAGATGGAAATCTATGTGGGGCGGCTCACCTTTATCACTTTACTAGTTACACTTCTGTCACTACCTGCAGTTACCATGTTGCACAGCTTGATGAAGTTGTCATACTTCTGAAAGTATAATGTGGTTCCTAAATACTCCAGGTATACAGTAATATTCTGACACTGCCCAAGGCTCTTAATGTTTTTTTCCTTCGTACATTGCAGGGTAAATTTATCCGAATTCACTTTGCAGCCAGTGGGAAGTTGGCCTCTGCTGACATAGAGACATGTAAGTCCCTTTCCTGTGCTTTCATCCAATTTATTTCTATGTTCGCAATGATCAGCTACCTACATAATGCAAACATCTTTACAGATCTGCTGGAAAAGTCCCGTGTCACCTTTCAGCTCAAGGCTGAGAGAGATTATCACATCTTCTATCAGATCTTGTCTCAAAGGAAGCCCGAGCTTCTCGGTAAATAAAAACCTGAGTTGCGAGAACCAGCAACAACACTCCTGTAGAACTAAAATGAAAAATCAAACTTTGGTTCTCCTTTTCAGAGATGCTGCTCATCACCAACAACCCTTATGATTATGCCTTCATCTCTCAAGGAGAGACAACAGTAGCCTCAATCAATGATGCTGAAGAGCTAATGGCCACTGATGTGAGTAGAAATGCAACAATAATATGCACCTGTGCCGCTATTAAGTCATATTAGTTCAATTAATACTTTGGGTATTCTACATTTAAACCTGACAGGCTGTAAATTCAAATAACACACAAAAAAATTTCACTCCAGATGTCAGCTTTAACTTTATATTTCTTTTAGGAGTATTTATGACCGAGTATCACTGAATCATGAAATGTGAGCGAATACAACTTGAATAGACTGGATTACATATCTGATGTCAGATGACAGTCCTCGTTTAATGCAGGATTTTGAAGGCTCGGAGAGCAAATACCATGTTATCCCTGGATCTTCTCTGTAACTCTACACTGTACACTCTGATACTATGTAAAAATAAGTAAGAAACACCCCTTTTCTAATTTAGGATGCCTTTGATGTGCTGGGCTTTACTCAAGAAGAAAAGAATAGCATTTACAAGCTGACTGGTGCCATCATGCACTATGGGAACATGAAATTTAAGAACAAGCAGCGTGAAGAGCAGGCAGAGGCTGATGGCACAGAAGGTGAGAGGAGCTCTTTCAAAGCCTGAAAGTTAAACGTGTCTGTATCTGATGCTTACATTGAAAGAATTAAATTTGCATGTTTTTTCTTCAGATGCGGACAAATCCGCTTATCTGATGGGCCTGAACTCTGCTGACCTCATCAAAGGTCTCTGTCACCCAAGAGTCAAAGTAGGAAACGAGTGGGTCACCAAAGGACAGAATGTACAGCAGGTAATAAGATGATCAACAGCTGAACAAGGTTTACATTATGGGTTTATCTGTAAATTCTAAAGCTACAGGGGGATTTCTGCATTAGGTGTACTATGCTGTCGGCGCACTGGCTAAAGCAGTGTATGAGAAGATGTTTCTGTGGATGGTGGTGAGGATTAACCAGTCCCTGGACACCAAACAGCCCCGCCAGTACTTCATTGGTGTGCTTGACATTGCTGGATTTGAGATCTTTGATGTAAGAATCCTCAATTCAACAACAACAACAAAAGAAATAACACAGACAGGACAAACACTAGTATTAAAAACAAGTATACTGTTGTCACTTTATTTACAGTTCAACACCTTTGAGCAGCTGTGCATCAACTTCACCAACGAAAAACTGCAACAGTTTTTCAACCACCACATGTTTGTACTGGAGCAGGAAGAGTACAAGAAAGAGGGCATCGAATGGACTTTCATTGACTTTGGCATGGATCTGCAGGCCTGTATCGACCTAATTGAAAAGGTGAAACACTGTACAATTACATGTTCAGCTAAAACTAATACAAATATAGTCTTTAACAAACACTTATACTTTCTGTCCTTTAGCCCATGGGTATCATGTCCATCCTTGAAGAGGAGTGCATGTTCCCCAAAGCCAGTGATGCCACCTTTAAAGCTAAGCTCTATGACAACCACCT